GGGCAGGGCCAGGGAGTAGCAGTAGGATAGATAATGGAATTGTATTGCAGTAGGAAAGTTTCAGCACAAATAAAGAAAGGCAGACAGAGGCATAACAGTGGCCCTTGCAACTCTCTTTCAGCTCGAACGCCAGTTTCTACACTGCCCTGGAATACCAACGCAGCCATCAAGCGATAAGTGAAGCTGTCGCCAACACCGGAGCGAAGGCATCGAGGGGGCCTGGGCGGAGATTTGCCCGTGTGCGGCAGCGACTCCGGACATTTCTTAGATTTGTCCGGAAGCATTGCTGCTGCAATGCGGAAGAATAAAGGCCCCATCGTTGGCGCACCCCACCACTCCAGTACAGTGGAGGTAAGGGTTTGGTGGGTCGCTCCCTTTCCGTGGGCACCCGTATCCTGGCTTGCCAGGAGAAGGCAGCACAACAAAAATGTGGACTCCACCTGTTCCGTCTGGATGGGATTGAGTGGTTTTCGCCTCGCATGCGTGGGGTTTTTTTTTCCGGATCCCCAGTTTCCTTCGACATTTTAAAGCCACTCATTATTTGGCCGATAACACCTTGACGTATAGAGGACCTCAGAGCTTGGACAATTGTGGTTCTGTGGTTTCTCGCGTTGTGAGAGTGAGTGAGCACTGTGCACGTTAAAAGGTAAAAAAGTATTATATCTCGGCTTTCACGACCAATCTTAGATTCATTATTCGTTACTTTGGGTCAGATCGTCGAGGTATCTGACAATTTTCAGCTTTTCCCTCTACTGACAGCCAATCAAACGATGTTGTCACGTGGGCAAAAATTCCAATTTATTTGGATTTCAGGAAACCGGAATGTTGAAAAACAAGCATTAAATAATGTTACGTAAGAGATTACATTCAAAAATAAGTGTTAACAATAACTCAGCTCTTATTTTGAGATCTTTAACAGAAGCTCAGCTCTCGCGTAATGCATGCAAATCTTTCAGCTAAAGTACAATCAACAAGATAAATGTTCAATTTAAGAAAAGACCAAAGATCTGTATTGGAAAAGAAAAGGATTATTTTGTCTAAGAGTTCTGTTTTGGTGTAAGCTATTTATTTCATAATAATCAGAATCTTTCATTAACATAGCTTAAAAATACATGATCATCCCGAGGAAATGTATGTGAACATTACGTCACCGCAAAATATCTTTCCCACCAATTTTACATGGAGAAGATAAATCCAAATTTGTATTGCACTGCATCCAGCTGGCTGCTTCTCTCGTTGGTGTTCCACTCCCTTGTCGCACGATGTCATGCAGCATCTTGAGACACGACTGGAGACCTGCTGCTGTGTGTCTTGAGTGCTCTGTCCCTTGATGACCCCAATGCTTCCCCTGGGTTTGTGCCCGGAACAGGTGACGTCACCGGGGGATGTCGACACCTGGAATGGAAGAGGCAGAGACCCCAGACCCCAAGACATCCTGCAACCCCCCACCACCCCACCTGCACACACCCCACACACACACCCCACCCACCCACACACCCCATCCACCCACACACACCTCACACAGACATACCCCACACACACACACACACCCCACCCACCACCCACCCACAACACACACCACACACAGACATACCCCACCCACCCACACACACCCCATTCACCCACACACACACCACCCACACACACCACCCACCTACACACATCACGCACCCACCACCTATGCACACACACACCACCCAACCATCACCCACCAATAACACACCACACACACAAACACCCCCCCCCTCCTTTCTCTTGACTTACTGTTAATGAAATAGCTAAGGATGTTTTTAACTCGTATATAATAATAACTGTAAATATATATTAGTTTAGTTTTACCGTGTATTGAATTTAGAGGAAGGCCGTCTCACCGTGAAAGTATTCATGCAGAAGATTTAAATGTGCAATACGTTTTACTTTCATGCAAGTTTGTTTTTAACTCGTATATAATAACTGTAAATATATATTAGTTTAGTTTAATCGTGTATTGAATTTAGAGGAAGGCCGTCTCACCGTGAACGTGTTAATGCAGAAGATTTAAATGTGCAATACGTTTTACTTTCATGCAAGTTTGTATTTAACTCGTATATAATAATAACTGTAAATATATATTAGTTTAGTTTTACCGTGTATTGAATTTAGAGGAAGGCCGTCTCACCGTGAAAGTATTAATGCAGAAGATTTAAATGTGCAATACGTTTTGCTTTCATGCAAGTTTGTTTTTAACTCGTATATAATAACTGTAAATATATTAGTTTAGTTTAATCGTGTATTGAATTTAGAGGAAGGCCGTCTCACCGTGAACGTATTAATGCAGAAGATTTAAATGTGCAATACGTTTTACTTTCATGCAAGTTTGCAAACAAGCCTCGTGTTCAGTATTTTGTAAATACAAATTTTTCATTTGTAGCAATGTTTCTTGGCATTTATGGTTTTGTTGGAACGTTTATTAATATTGTTTTACTTGTTTGCACCACACACACACACACACCCCACGCATACACACACTATTCACACACCGTGCACACCCCACGCACACACACAAACCATGCTTGCACCCCACGCACACATGCACCCCACACATATACACACACCACACACACCCCCCACACACACACCACGCACACATACACCCCACACACACACCCCATGCTCACACCCCACACACACACCCCATGCACAAACTACACACACACCCCACGCACACCTACACCCCACACACACACCATATGCACACACCACACATACAGCCCACACATACACACACACCATGCATTCACCCCATGCACGCACCCCGACTAGCGCTTAGGTCAACTAGAACACACAAACCGAACCTCTCCACCTGGGTTTTCATCCCGGCAAACCGAGCGAGTGACCTGGCCATGGGTTTCCCATGTGAGAGAGAATTGGCAAAGTTCGGTGTGAGATGGTGACTCCCGGACCCTGTGGTAAAACATGGGTGAGTTTGACGCGAGACCACCTCCGGGAGAATCCGGGTAGAATATGATGGTGCACCCAGATACACGAGCACTCAAGGGGGGTAAGTTGGAAAGGGCAGGGAGTGTTGGAATGCAATAATACTGTTTTCCTGAGACAGATAGTGCGAGTGGAAGAATGACGAGTGTGGCCTTGGGTGCATCATCAACACATCGCGCATCTAAAATTATCCCTGATTATGACAATAAAAACAGCTGTAAGTTGAGATGGAGAACACCAACGCAAAGGTGATGAACGGGCAGGCAACCCGGGGCTGTGCGAGGGGACAGCCCCATCCAGCCCTTACCCCCCCCAACTCCCTCCGCACTAAATCCTGAGCGCTGCACTGCCGCACCGGCGTCATCCATGACTCCACCACGCGACGACCAACACCATCCACTCCTTCACCACCACCACCACCGAAGCTTAGTTGGTCACTGACACGCTTCGCACCCCACAAAAACGGTTTACACCTTAAATTTTGATTTAAAGCTTTCGTGACTGCAGTGATTCATATTCTTGGTTCTTTCGGTAAAGTCACGTTGAAGGGAAACAATAAAATAATAAAATATGTATAAAACAATAAAATTCTCACGACGTTTCGACTGCAACACAAGCAGTCATCATCAGGTGTGAAAAACAACGGCAAGAACATTTGAAAGAAGTGGCGGTTTGTATTTATTTATTTTTAAACGTTAGCACCACGGATAGCGATTTGACAGTTTGTTTAGATGGACGAGTCCATCTATGTTCGGAAAAGAGGAGGGGGGAGACGAAAAATTAACGTAGGCTGCGAGTGTGGAGTGTGTGTGTAAGTGGAGCGGTGGTGTAGCGGTGAGCGCGCTGCGCTATGAACTCGGCGTCCCGAGTTCGATTCCCACGTACGGCCAACACCAGTGACGATTATATCTGAACCGGGTCCTGGGCCTCCCCTAGGCCGGCCCTCCCCTAGGCCGGCTCGGCCTAGGGGAGGGCCGACCTTTATAGGTGCTAACAGCACTCGCCCCAACAGTCTGTTAAGGCTACACAGGGGATCTTTGTTGTTCGAGGTAGTTGAATACATATTGTGCTTTCGATGGCTCGTTGTGCGAGTTGCCATTGTTGGTCATTGTAGCTTGTTTGATGTCACTCGCAATCGCACATGTT